TCTCGCTGTGTCTCTGTCAAATAAATAAAATCTTAAAAAAAAATTAATTAATTAAAATAAAATAAGAACCAGGCTAGACACGTGTATGCATCTGGCCAGTAGTCATTAGAGGCTAAATTACCACAAGTTCATATTCCTCTAAGGCACTAGTGATGCGAGGTATAAAATCTGAAATATACAGAAATGATGTTTGTTCACTTTAAAGAGCTCAAAATATCTTGGTCTTGGGCTTTTATTCCTAACTGTACTTTCATCATGTAAGTCAATTCTAGCTGGAATGGACTATGGCAATCCTAGCCAAGAGGAGGGCAGTATTTCTATTCTAAAATATGGATGACTGGTGCCGGTTTATGTGAGAGGTGGTAGCAGTAGCTGCTTATTAAACGTCAAACTTTATAACAGAAATTGAAGCCTCTTTGGGTGGCAGTTCCTCTCCCAGTAAGTAAAACAAAGAAATAGCTCTTACACGGCTAAAACCTAAATTGGTATTAGAAGTAAGTATTTTATTATATAACAGGAGTTAAAGTGTTCAAAAATCTTAAACAACAAAACCAAAAGCCATTCTGGAAACAATGAGAAAATTTTACAATAAAAGCTTTCACTTTTCAGAAATGTGAACCAGAAACAAATTGTTACATGTGCTGCAAACAGATGGGGCCAGTGTTCTGTCTATTGTGGCAACTGAACAGAGTGTGAGCTACGGAATCACTGCCCTGATGGTGACTGAAGCAGGTGAGGAGAGGCGGGGGCTCTCGAGCAGGATGCTCCAACTCAGGCCAGGAGTCCACCTATGATCCAATTCCCGTCAGTCAGACAAGTCACTCTGATCCAGCACGATTATCCTGTGTGTGTATTTTTTAAAGAACAACAACAACAACAAGGAGTTTTGAGTTGGTGTACACATTTTTGAAAGACACAAACAGCAGTTTCTTTCTATTCAACTGAATTCAAGGGAAAGGGATTTTGATCTTTATATTCAAAGGAGATAATCAACTAGTATATCATGGGAATGCACAATAACTGCAAAGCAACTGAAACCAGCATTCTGTCCTCCATCTGTCTAAAACTGCTCTTGTGCTGAATCTACTGACTACTTCACCAAAGTTGGCATGAATTTCACCTTATATTTTAATTAACTATAAACATTAACAGATAAAAAATTGAGCAACTCTGAATTCATTATCATTTAAAGAAATTTATTAGTAACTTTATAATTCATGTTTATTTAGATGCTGGCGAATGTTTAAAGCCTGTTCCTGTTGTCTAGAGACAGTAAACTTTGACCTATAAGCATATGCCAACTCATTACCTGGATGGTTCAGACCAACCCAGTCGCTTCCAAAAACAGGGTTTTAGTTCCTCTTGATGAAATATAGAAAGAAGAAAACACAACCCGATTACTGTCTGGGTCAAAGGGTGCCAGTATTCAGAAGTCACATTAGTGTTCTCTCTCTAGTTTAGGGTGAACTGTCTTACCAACAAATGGTTGTTTTCTTCTACAGAGAGAATCTTTCTAAAAACACGGTTAATGGGCTTCCCCTCCTAACATTCTGCAGCTCTCTGTCACAGCAATAGACACTAATGATGCTAATTCACGAAGTCCCTGCATTATGTTCTCAGTGAATTCAACACTAGCTAAATGCTCACACACTCTGGACCCTGTGCCGGTCAGAGTCCCAGAGGAATTCAAATGCATGCCCAAGCCCTTTCACGAAGTGACCACTCACACAGGGATAGTCAGAGTTAAGGGAGCAAACAAGGGCTGGCAAGGTGTCCAGTGAGCAGCAGCAGTGGGAAGCCATTATCACTGCTAAGTCTAGAGGGATTGGGGTGGAGGTGGGGCAGAACAGTTACTGGGACCCAGTAATAGCTGGAACTAAGAAGGACAGGCTGCCTCACAGAAGCTGTGCTTCTGGAGGGACAGCACTTCTACGCAGAGACTAGGTGTTGCAGTCGGCAGGCAGGGGAAGTAATACCCCACCTACTCTTCTACCCTCTTCCCACTGACCAACGGGAAGCCTGCTGGCCAGGAAGTCCAGGAGATACAGTCCACAAAGCACAAAACAGGGCAGAGAAAGGAGGAGAATGAGAATGAACCAGGGAAGGTATACAAGGGATACCAGATATTCTGAAAGAGTTAACATTTCTAACTTCCTAAGTAGAAGGAACTTTAAATATAGAGGGGTGTCATTTCTGAATGACGCCTAAAGCTCTGTTGAAATAGTTTTGAAATAAGATTAATTTATCCTTTCACATTACTTGTAGACTCCACTTAAATTCCAGTTTATGATTTCTTATCAGATTCTGCAGCCTCTGTGTGAGCTAAATTTAGAACTCTTTTGAAGACACTAGATAATTAGAAGCAAAACATCTTCCCAGACAGTGTGTAAGATAAGATGATGAAACTGGCCAAAGGCTTGCTTTAGAAATAGAATTGGATGCACAAACAATGAATCATGGAACACTTCATCTAAAACTAATGATATAATGTATGGGGATTAACATAAGAATAAAAAAATATATAAAAATAAAAAAATAAAAAAAAAACAGAAATAGAATTGGATGTTGTTACTGTTTTGTGATGAAGATACAACTGGCAATTAAGAGAAAACATGGGCTGAACTAGAGGAGGAAAGCATAGAAGGATTATGTATAGCATCTGGGAAGTATTTCTAAATAACTTGGATGCTTATCACAGCCCAAGGACTCCAGGCTACATCATAAATAATCATTCATTCATACCTTCTTCAGAAGTTCCTAAAAAACTGTCTGATTTCCTTCTCTCTGATTTGATCCTTTCTTCCTCTTTTGTCTTCTTTTCACCAGCTTCTTGGTCCTTGATATTTGCCTCCCTTCAATGACAATGATTTTGAGCATCAAACCATAAGCACAATGGCCAGGAGAACAGGACTGCTCCAAAGGAATCATAATAGGTGGCCCTAGTGGCCAGGCATTAGCTTGTGCGCTATAATGTATATTAACTCATTTAATTCTTATTACAACTCTATGAGGTAGTCACCACTACCATGAAGCACAGAGAAGTTTAGTTACAGGCCTTGTAAGTCCTGGAACTGGGATCTGACCCAAGCAGTCTGTCTCAGACTCTGCTCTCAACCTCGAGGCTATATAATCCACCTCTACCCAAACCCCACAAAGCATTTCACTTATGTTCTAATTGGTGTCCTTTTTATAACTACCATTTATTTTATTACCTTACTTCATTTCCTGAAACTCTCTCTGAAGTATCTCTGATTGAAGTGTCTAATGATTTAAGGCCATGTTTGCCAAACTAGTAAGCAGAAAGCATCTCCCCCACTCAATGGTAAGCTCCTGAAGGGCAGAGACATCCTATCCCTCTGCTTCTCCAGCACAGCGCTTGGCTCACTGTCAGTGCTCAACAGATGCTGGTTCAACCAATCTGACACTGTTTAGGGATTTTCTTCTGTTTTCATTTGCTAAATATTCAAAACAAAATATGTAAAATGAGAGAGAAAATAAAGCCAGCTAGAGCAAAAAGGATTTTTTCCCTCCTAACCTCTCATCACTGATAGAATCATAGGCTCTAGAATGGGAGGAAGCCTTGAGGGTCTCTCCCACCTCCATCCAGATGACCGGGCCCAGCGTTGTCTAGCCTGTGCTTGAGTGGGAGGAGCTGGTGGTCAAGGGAGTGTAAAGGCAGTTGTTCTCTCTATCAGATGGCTATGGCTCTTAGAAAGAGTGTGCTTTGCTGCATAAAAATACCTAACTCTGCAGTTTCTAGTCACTAGTTCTGTCCTTTGGGGGAGAAGAGAATAAGCAGACTCTCTTCACTTCACAGTATCTCAGGTATTTGAGGGCAGCTATCAAATCCTCAACCCCATCCGTGCTTCTCAGGCTGAGCCTCCCCAGATCCTTCAGCTGTTCTCACAGGACATGGTTTCCAGACGTCTGACTGTTCTAGGGCCACCCTCTTCTGTTTGTCAACATCGCTTTTAAACTATGGCACCCAGGAAGACGCTCCACACTGTGTCCCAGGAGTCTCCTCTCTAGCGTGAGACATTGCCTTGCCCTGGACAGTACATCTCTGTCTGTTCAGCATTAATGCTGCATTGACCTTTTTAGCAACTGCATCAAACGGAGATCTCATGGAGTCACTATTTATGCCCTCTTCAAGAAAAATTTCTTGGGGCGCCTGGGTGGCTCAGTTGGTTAAGCGACTGCCTTCGGCTCAGGTCATGATCCTGGAGTCCCGGGATCGAGTCCCACATCGGGCTCCCTGCTCGGCGGGGAGTCTGCTTCTCCCTCTGACCCTCCTCCCTCTCATGCTCTCTGTCTCTCATTCTCTCTCTCGCAAATAAATAAAATCTTTAAAAAAAAAGAAAAAGAAAAATTTCTTGAATTCTTACCATGTCTCAAAATGCATGCTAAATGCTGAGCATATAAAAATAAGACACACTTCCTCCCTTCAATGAAACTGCAGTGAGGAGGAGCTTCCAGTCAAAAATTCTCCATTAGGTCAGATACCTCACATTCTGTACATCTCAATGCTCACTTTCATCTTTTAGAGGAATCTAAGATTTCCACCTGTCAAGACTATTTTGAATCCACAGTCTATCACCTATCACATTAGCATTCATTCTTATATTTGTGTTATCTAAAAATTTGATAAGCATGCCTTTTCTGATTTAATTCAAATGGCTGATGAAAATGTTGAAGGTGACAGGGCCAAGGTACAGCAATCTTAGAGGCCTCTCTGTATACTGATATCAATCTGGTAATCAGTATCTTGAGCGCTGTGGGTGGTTGGAGGAAGAGGGGCAGACAGGAGTCAAGGCTGGCTTAACAAGAGCAATGTAATGACATCACCAGACACTCATTCTTCAAGGAGTCAAGGTATTAAAAAAAAAAAAAAAAAAAAAACCTAAAATCTAGACCTCCTTCCTGAAAAAGAAGAAAATGATCCCCTGATGGGAGAACAACAACCTTGTAGAACCTTCAGGGAGATCTTGTAGCTCCATGCTGTCCTCAGGGGGCTGTAGCCATCTTTCTAGGTCCTCATCGAGAGTAGAGTGAGCTCTGTCCAAGGGTAAGTGAAGAGAATTGAGACAATTCTTGTCCCATGACAAGGAGGCACAGTGTTTTAGGGTGGGGAAGGCCCTTTAAACCCATGCTTTCACTGTACACATGAGAAAATGAGAGCTCGGTGAGACTACCTACAGCAGCAGAGGTCACTGAGATCCGATTTAAATGCAGACCAAAACCCTTCTTTAGCCCCTTGACCAAAAGCCTCAGCACCCATAGTTACCTCCCAAAGTCCAATGTTAGACTCAGTCTCAATTCTACGTCATTAAGTCAATTTCTACCTGAGGCTAGAACTGTACACTCATTACTACTTTTTTTGGATGAAGAACTGCCTCTGAGGCTAAAGGATGCAGAGATTGTTTCTGGAAGGCCTGAGAAGTCCCACCGTGGGCACCTATCTGTGTCCAGCACAGCCAGCCCTTCTGGAAAACAGTTATAGTAGCCAACTTCTGATCACAAACAAAGCACTTTATACAACCAAATTTAACTTGGCTTTTTGAGCTAATCTTCTTTTGCTTGAATAATGATGTACATTTTTACTGAAGGTGTTTTGGGGAGTTGGAAGGGCTGGATTTATACATTACAGAAAAAAGATTTCTTTTTTTAATTATTTACTATTTTTTAAAGATTTTATTTATTTGTCAGAGAAAGAGGGAGTGAGTGCACACAAGCAGGGGGAGCAGCAGACAAAAGAAGCAGGCTCCCCGCTCAGTAAGGAGCTCCGTGGGATTCAATCCCAGGACCCTGGGATCATGACCTGAGCTGAAGGCAGATGTTTAATTGTCTGAGCCACCCAGGCATCCCTAGAAAAAAAAGATGTCTAAAACTTTTAAAAAATATTTATTTTCTTCCCCCTTTGCCTCTTTGTCTTTTCTGTCTCCCCAGGACCTTCCTTGCTGGTCCCAGGGCTCCAGTCTCCTCCTCCACTTCCCAGACCTTCCCTTCCAGGTCTTTCTTCTCCTTCCTCATACAGAATAATTTAGCCCTTGAAGAGTGTGACAGAAACTGGATTCACTACCTAAAAGTTATTCATAGCACTCTTCTTCCTTGCCTTCTTCTATAGCAGCTAAAAAACTAAAAACTCAATTTATAGTCTCCCTTGCAACTGAGGGTGGTCATGCATCACATTTGGCCAGTGAGATATAAGTAGGGCCTTATATCTCCTGCTGGGGAGGGCTTCTGGGAAAGTGCTTTCCAGATAAAAAGGGGCAGAGTCAGAATATTCCTTTGCCCCACCCTTTTATCTCTGCCTGGTGTGTGGACAGCAGCCATCTTGCAACCAGGAGGTGACAAGTCTGAAAATAAAGGTCAACATGCTAAGGTGGCAAAGCAGGAATATCCAAAGAGCCTAAGTCCCTGATCACATCACCAAGCTGCTACACCAGGCCTGCCCTGCCAGCCAGTGGGACTGCCTCTTGTGTGAGACAAACTCATCTAAGCACAATGGTGGGGTTCTCTATCATTTGCAGTTGAAAGAATTCTGCAGGCTACCCTAAGGATCCACAGGACCAGGATTAAAATAACACGAATGGGGCGCCTGCGTGGCTCAGATGGTTAAGCGTCTGCCTTCGGCTCAGGTCATGATCCCGGGGTCCTGGGATCAGGTCCCGCATCGGGCTCTCTGCTCCTTGGGAGCCTGCTTCTCCCTCTGCCTCTCTCTCTGTCTCTCATGAATAAATAAATAAAATCTTTAAAAAAAATAAAAAATAAAAAAAAATAACACGAATGGTACAAGGATAGATTCAGATCCTCTTTTTCTTCAAAATTTAGACACTTTGCTCATCGTGGATTTTTTGGCATCAATTTTCATTTTTAAAAATGCCGCATTAAAATAATTTATCTTGACTCCTGCGTTTTTTGGTGTCTCCTTCAATTTTGTGCCTAAGGAGTGTGTCTCACTCACCTCATGCCAGTCCTGGCCCCAAATGACAGTTAGGACAAGGCAAAACAAGTCAGAAGGCACAAGAGGTGAGCTGAAGTGGTTTACCTTACAGCACGGGTCAAAGGAGAGCTCTGAATCAGGAATGGAATGGGGTTTCTTGAGGCAAACTTGTATCTTTATTTTTTATTTATTTATTTTTAAAAAAATCTTTTATTTATTTATTTGACAGAGAGAGAGATAGAGAGAGCAGGAACACAAGCAGGGGGAGTGGGAGAGGGAGAAGCAGGCTTCCCGCTGAGCAGGGAGCCCAATGTGGGGCTCGATCCCAGGACCCCGGGATCATGACCCAAGCTGAAGGCAGACGCTTAATGACTGAGCCACCCAGGTGCCCCACAACCTTGTGTTTTTAGACTCAACTGTCTGGATGATTGTCCCCATTTTCTCTTATTTGGCTACAAATACCTAAAAATTCTCTTCTAAGGCCTTTAATTGAAACATTTTTTTTTTTTAAAAAGCTGAAACCTATGTTTGCCTCACAAAATGAAGTAAAAACAAAAACAAAAAAAACAACCTGACAAGAAAAAAATCCTATTAAAAAATGGGCAAAGAACTTGAATATTTATTTCTGCAGAGAAAATATACAAATGGCCATGGACCATATGAAAAGGTATTCAACATCACTCATCACTGGGGAAATGCAAATCAAAACCACAATGAGATATCACCTCATACTCATTCCATTAGAGTGGCTACTATCAAAAAATCCAGAAAATAACAAGTATTGGCAAGGAGGTGAAGAAATTGGAGCCCTTGTGCACTGTTGGTAGGAATGTAAAATGGTGCAGCTGCTGTGGAAAACAGTATGGTATTTCCTCAAAAAATTAAAAATAGATTTACCATGTGATCCAGCAATACCACTTCAGGGTACATATCCAAAATAATTGAAAGCAGGATGTTTAGAAGAGATATTTGTACACCGTGTTCATAGCAGCATTATTCACAGTAGGCAAAAGATGGAAGTCACCCAGTGTCTACCAGTACATGAATGGATAAACAAAATATAACACATAGACACACAAACACACACACACATACACAGGAATTCAGCCATAAAAAAGAAGGAAATTCTGGGGCGCCTGGGTGGCTCAGTTGGTTAAGCGTCTGCCTTCAGCTCAGGTCATGATCCTGACTCACAGGATCAAGCCCTCTGCTCAGCGGAGAGCCTGTTCTCCCTCTCCCTCTGCCGCTCCCACTGCTCATGCTCTCTCTCTCTCAAATAAATAAAATCTTTAAAAAAAAAAGGAAATTCTGACTATGTTGCATGGATGAACCTTGAGGATATTATGCTAAGTGAAATAAACCAGTTACAAAATGACAAATACTGTATGACTTCACTTATATGAGGTATCAAGAGGAGTCAAATTCATAGAAACAGAAAGTAGAATGGCAGTTGCTAGGAACTGAGAAAGGGCGAATGGGCAGTTGGTTTTTGAGTATAAGAGTTTCAGTTTTGAAAGAAGAAGATAGCAGGAGGGGAAGAATGAAGGGGGGGAATCGGAGGGGGAGACGAACCATGAGAGACTATGGACTCTGAAAAACAAACTGAGGGTTCTAGAGGGGCGGGGGGGGGGGTAGGAGGATGGGTTAGCCTGGTGGTGGGTATTAAAGAGGGCACGTTCTGCATGGAGCACTGGGTGTTATATGCAAATAATGAATCATGGAACACTACATCAAAAACTAATGATGTAATGTATGGTGATTAACATAACATAAAAGAGTCTCAGTTTTGTAAGATGAGTAAGTTTAAGAGACTGGCTGCACAACAATGTGAATATACTTAACACTACTGAACTGTACCCTAGAAAATTTTATGTTGTTTATCTTATCACAACTACAATAAAAAACAAAAAACTTTTAGGAATAGGGGCTATTTAGGATAGTATGAAGAAAGACCCTTTTCTTCCCATCTTATTTGTCAAATATCAGAAGAAAAACTAATACAAACTAATACCATATATTAAATCCTTTCAGAAGTCCAGCTTTTTCTGTTACCTCTCTGTGTCCTCTTCTAGATCCTGAGTTTCTTTGGTCCAAAGCACACTGCTATGTTCTTTTTCACAGTTAGTTGCTTGTTCTTCTAAATGCCTTTGATCTAAAAACAGTTGAAAGACTTAACTTTATTAGAACATCAAAAAACAATTGAGAAAGGCTGCCTTAAAATGGAGTGCAAAAAATTAAGGTTTATCAGTGGTCCCTGAAGCATGCACTGCACGACTTCTTCCCAGGAGAGCCAGGGACCAGGTGGCAGTCTGCAGGGTGCCTGCATCCACAGCAGCTGCTTCTGGGGTCTTGGGAGCTCTCTGGTGCCAGGTGAAGCGACAAGAAACCTTACCTGTGCCAAGACTCAAGAGAGACAGAGGAAACAGAGGAAAGAAAGGACACATAAAAGAGGAGGCAGGAGACCCTGGAAACAAATTGCTCAGATTTACTTTGGGGGACTACGCTGTTCTCACTTGTTAGATGTTTCTAGGTTGAAGCCTCAAAGGAAGGAATTTGGGTGGGGAAGGGTAGTACCCTTTAATGTATGCCAGGCATTTCGTAATGCTATCTCATTTCATCCTGCCAGCAGTCCTATGAAGGGAAGGTTTGTTCAGTATCTTACAATGTAGCAGGCACTGTGCTTAGAGCTATTGCATACATCAGGAGGTAGGAATTATCATCCCTATTTTACAGATGAGGATGACTGAGGCTCAGAGACATTAAATAGTTTGCAGTACAAAAGTGGCAACTGAGGTGGAATTGTGCCTGATTTAAAGGTCCACAGTCCCCCAAATGTACCAATGTGCTGCCAAGGACAGTGTTACAGCAAGGACCTGATGAAAAAAATCTGGGTAGTTGGCTTACCATTTGCAGTGATGCCCAGATGACTTGCTGTGTTCTCCCCCAACACTGTGGATGAGGCCTGCTCCTGCTTCAAGTGCTCTGTCACAATCATACAGAAGCAGAAGGCAAGTTATTTCTTCCTTTACACGTCATACCATTCTCTAGGGCAGTGGTTCTCAAAGGGTTGCCCTATACTCTGACTTAGATATGCAAATTCTCAGGCCTCATCTCAGACCTACTGAGTCAGAAACTCTGGGGGTGGGGCCAAGCAATCATATTTTACAAGGCCTCCAGGTGACTCTGACAGCTGATAAAGTTTGAGAACCACTGGTCTAGGGCATTCAATCCCCTCCAACACTAAAAATAAAAACAAAAATGGTAACGATGATAGGTCACATTTGCAGAGCTCTATGTGGCAGGTACTGTTTTTAACTTACACACATTCATTCAAGATTAATGTTTGCAGTCTTCACAACAATCCTACAAGACTGATCATGTGATTTCCATTCCTGTTTAGCAGATGAGGAAATGAAGGTAAAGAAAGGTTGAGGACCTTGCCTGGAATCACACAGAGTAAGATGCAGAGCTGGGATTTGAACCTAGATGGTCCAGCTCTAAGATCTACGCTCTTAACCTCTATTTTATCCTCTCTCAAAAAGTTTGGAACAACATCAAAGCAACCTCCAGTTTTCCTCATCCCTGTGGCCTATGTTTCATATTTTTTACCTAGTTTATGAAAAGACAGAAGGCAAAGAATATCTATAATTTCCAGTTCCTAAAGAATTGACCACAAGACCAAGACAAGCATCTGCTAAACCCCGCATCCTGCTTTGCATTTGTTAGCTGCACTGTATGCTTCAAGTGCTCCCCGCAGAGCAGGGAGATAGCTGGGAGGCAGAACACAGAGGGACCATGGGTTCCCTGATGCAGCCCTGTTGTGTGCAGGCACAGGGCTCTCTCTTCCTGCAGGTCAGGAAGCTTCCTGGCAGCTCCTGGGCATCAGGCCCCATTTGATCATTTCAAATAATTTGAAATAAAAAATCCATTTTTATCCTTGTTAAAAGTAGTCCCTTGTTGATCTTAAAGGATCATCTATATCCTAGGGTTCTAGAGGATCCTCCCCTTTAGGCCTTTGTCAGAAGCCTAGAGCTTTGGATGTGGGTCCTCCAAAAGAACAGATGTCAACACCAGGTCACTCCCCAAAGCTCTCCTGAGGTGGAACAAGAGAATGATAATATACAATAATTGCGTGGGAGTGCCCATTATTAGGAGAAACTACCCAAGTGCCCTCTCGCTTTGTCTTTCTGGGAAATTACTGACCCATGTCAAAGTACAGACATCACCTAGAAACCTGGTCCAGATAATTCCCATAAGTAAAATGAGGGTTTCTTCAGAGTGTACTGGGGTACAGCTGTGCCACGAGGCTGGAGCCCAGGAGGAAGCCTGCTAACAGTTGCTGAAATGGGGGAGTCCATATGGTGACTGAAAGAGAAGACAGCAGGATCCAGAGGGAAAGTATTGCTAAGGTCAAACTACAAAGGAACCTACAAATACTACCTTAAGTCATGACCAAGGAACAAATGACACTGAGAATTTACCTGAGCTGGACATGTGTAGGTGACCTTTACTCTTATAAGCAGCAGTTCTATTGCTATACTATGAAGAGCAACTAGAGAGGAGGATTTGCAAAGACTCCCTGGGGATTTCTAGAGAAGGAGAGCCAGTGTGGGGATGGGAGCCCTAAGAGCTTAACCTAACATCCCTATGACCCTGTGGCAATGCGGGAGAGGTGTGATGAGGTAAGAAGGGCCCGTGAGTACGGAAAAAGAAACTAAGGAAGGTTCTGGCAGCTCTGACTGGTTCCACCCTAGTTCTTCAGACCCACAGTCAGGGGCTTGGGGTTGCGATAGCTGTCATTGAGTCAGACCACATAGGTCCTCATTTACCTCTCTCTTTCTGATGAAACACAAAACCTCAGAGACCCTGAAAACCAGCTGGTGCATCTCAGGAAATTCTCTACAGGCCCCATACCAAGAACTGGGCCATCAGAGGTCTGACAAGATGTGTCCTCTCAGGGTAAGGGGCTGGTCAGCCAGGCTGTCAAGAAGAGAACAGTCGGGTCTTTCCTGGGTAAGGAAACCACCTGTCCCAATGTTTCCATTTATTCAGCATCGGCTCAGCTGGGCAGGGCCAGCTGATCCAGCTACAACTAAATTGAGCTGGTATAACTGGGTCTCTGCCTGAAATGGAAAATTCTGGTTTCATTAGGTCTTATGCCACTGACATCTCTGCCCCTGGGAAAGTGATTCATCCATGCTGCCAATACCTTTAATACCTCCTGCTAATGGCAAAACTGAAAGTACAGGATGTCTTGGCCTCAGTAGCCAGACATCAGGCCCCCAAGTTATGGCTGGTTTCGTTCAAAAAGGAAGTAAAAAAATCCCTTTAGTAAAAGAATTTCATCATAATAAACCACTCAAATGTTATTTCTCTTAGAATCATGACCATAGGCCCTTTAAGTAACAAAGCGACAAAAGACACAGGCTAATTATCCTGGCCAGGTTTCAAGAGTAGTGTGAGGCCCATTTTATTGGAAAACTGCTCCTTCCTGAATTGTGTACATTCGATCGGACCTTCTGAGGGTCTTTTGTACTAGTGCTTACACTTGAGACAAAGAACCACACTGTGGTCACGGAGCACATTCGGTATTAAACATCCCTTACCAATTTCGTCAAGCAGCTCCTGAGATGGTGGTGGTAGCTCATCAATGTGACGCTGTGAAATGGCTTCTACTAGTGCTTAAAAAAGATAAAGGGGGAAATGACTTAACACCTTCCTGGCCCTGAACTGGATTTTCACGGCTTCCACGTGGACTTGACCTAGGACTTCTCAACAGTAAAACAAACTAAGGCAGGGAGACAGCATTTCACATCAGCAGTCCTAGCTGAGACCTCCTAACATGTGAATGGGTTTACTCCCCCTTTTATTACAAACCCTTTCCTACTTTGCCCCTTACCCAGTACTGATTGATCTGTGTCCTTTCCTCCCCAAGGATATTAAGGGTAGGTGAGGTACAAATTCTTACTAAGCGGCTGCAGGCTCCTGGAGGGATACAGAGGCTCTGGACCACTCAAAATGAACAAAACATATAAAGTGGGAGGTCTTTCTCTATAGATTATCAGGCCAGGGGATGCAGAAGCAACCATTCTTTGGGCCTTTCCTTAACTGCTCAGTTATAACACTAACCCAAACCCCTCAGCATAATTCACAAAATTGTACCAAAACATAAGACACTGAAATTAATATACCAAAGGCAATACACCTCAAGAGCTTTTAACATTCTCATACCTTTTTATTTGAAAACCATCTCCTAAGAATCTATCCTAAGAAAGGGATCAGAGGTACAGACAAAGATTTTTGTACAAAGAGCAAAAATTAGAAAACAATATAAATCTTCAACATTAGGGCATGATTAAGCAACATATGTAGAATGGACTATTATGAAGCCGTTACATATATTTACAAATAACTTCCACTGACTAAGGGGAAATCCTCAAAATACAGCATCAGAGAAAAAAAAGGCCAGAGCTGACACACAATTATGATCTCAACTATGCTAAAAATATATACATTTTTGCATACTGAAATATGAAAGAGAGGGGTGCCTGGCTGGCTCAGTCAGTACAGCATGCAACCCTTCATCTCAGGGACATGAGTTTGAGCCCCACGTTGGGCAGAGAGTTTACTTAAAAAAAAAAAAAAAGATACATGCCAAAATAGTACAAGAAGTTAAAAAATGGTGGTAGAATTAAGTGGTAGTGTTTTTTAAAAGCTCTTTTTAATTCTCTAAGTTTAATAAGTATACTTTACTTTTATAATCAGAGGGAAAATAGCATTTCTTTTGGTTTTTTTTTTAAGATTTTATTTATTTATTTGACAGAGAGAGAGACAGCGAGAAAGGGAACACAAGCATGGGGAGTGGGAGAGGGAGAAGCAGGCTTCC